CCCTTGGCACGCGCCTCCTTTCGAAACTGATTTCTCCTCTATCCAAATTTCTAGTCACGTATTTCGACGCTCGTTGGCATATTATAAAGTGACATTGATATTGTCCACGGGGTGAGGATCATAACTATGCCTGGAAACGGAACTCTTCTCAGAATTATCTTACAACTTTTACGTGAGCTGTCAGCCGCTCCTTTTAATATCGTAAAGAATTATCATTTTTAATTAACGGAATGCTTAAGTAACTGTTAATTTAGCAACGTTTGCACTTCTACCAATTCTGACAAAATTATACTCGTATTTGCAGAAACACTTAAATTTATGGAACAGCATCAGAAATTCATAAATAAAAAGCAAAATCACAGAAAATGGGTCGTGTGCACATTTTCAGAAGCACAGAAGGAAAAGCAAACACAAATGTGGCGAGGTCTGAATCAACATCATTTGTCGGGATTACCACGTTGAAATTGCTCTTCATCCAGCGCTGTACAATCACTCTACGTGTCTGACGTATGTACGTGTACACTTCATATGACTCAGTGATTATGAAACTAAATAAAATTGAATGATTCTCATTACTTAAAAGGTTTCTCTAATATTTCCTTGCAATTTAAACACAATTACCCATTCCTAGTCAAAATAAAAAAATATATGCTAACATTCTTAACAGTATAATAAACAAAACATTGAAGTATTACCACTCCATAATTCTGCTTCGAACACCACGAAAAATATGAATACTTAAGCAACAAATAGAAAATTATATTTTAACAGAATTACAGAAATCAGCTTTCGAAAATCAAAGCAAGTAGCAAGACACAATTCCCCTCAATAATTCCAAGCACCACCAAACGTATTTCCAGCAAAGTTTACCCTTCACCGCAATTCTCCTCTCCAAAACGAATGGTCGCAAACCTTCCGTAAATAATAAACACTCCAGTTGGCGGTGCCATTATTAAATTCAATCCCATCAAAAGCGAGACCGCCCGCGTCGTCCCGGTTTCGAGGCATGAAACAGTTCCGCGATGCAGCGACGGGATGGGTGACAAGAAAGAAACACGGTTAAGCACGGTGCGCGTCTTCAAAAGCGGAGGAACGAGAAGCAGCCGGATAACTGTGATAAAGTCAACCTCATACGTTGGGATTACGCGGTTGCTCCATTTTCATCTCTATCGGGCAGCTTGACCCGGCTCGTTTTCTCTCGCGTTTACTGCCACCATCCTCGTGGCTGTTTACAGAGCTTCGTGTAACCGGCATCAGAGACACGAAGACACGTATTTCACTGGCAAACTTTGCGAGTTCGTTTGCCTGCTATGTGCATAGGCCTCGGTGTTATTGCCACGTTTTCGACGTTTCTGCGATTCTCCACGGGGAGGAACAACGGAAGTGAACCATCGGGACAGACGAAGAGGAATATACATACGTATTGTATTATTAGCACGCGCCTCTACGAGGAGGGGATATCAAAATATGACTCTATGTGACAAGGACGAGAGGAATTCTGGTCTTTTGTGACGTCCATTCATAAACCACCTCATACGGAAATTTTTTTAATAATTCATAATTTTTATTTTTTGACCGAGTGCAATAATAAAGCAAGGGGAACCTAAAAATGGTAGGAATCTACAGATATCCTTTATGAACGGCCCTGAAGAAGAAATATAAATTAGACAATGCTAAACACTTGATCCATTTACATGGACAATAAAATTACAATTTGTATCAGCAACATTTTCTCCTTGCAATTCTGCAATATTTTGTTAGTTTATTTTTTAATTAGACTGATATTTTAGAATCCTACTAACTATTCCTCCTTTTCTAGGATCATATTCCAAGGTTTAACGGCACGAATAATCATAATAATCAACGATATTCGCTAATAACCACAAAGGTGTATGCGACCTTAAATAATTAAATTAAATTAATCAACGAGTAATCAAATTTCCTCGGGAATAACCGCGACACATAGTATCGGTTGGAATTTAGAGTAAACATCAGAATGCTTCTAAACCGCTACGATTCCACGATCGTTCTGGGTCCGTCGCGATCTCTGACCGAATGCAAGGACAAATCCTTGGCATTCGAGGCTCGAGAACTCTGTATCCAGCAGATAGCCCTTGTCGCACGAGGTTCCTCAGTTGTGTTATGCCGTGGTAGCATCGTATAACGCATTCAGGATATCTGCTGGCAATTTCAGATTGTCGAGATTGTAAACACGCCTAGTAACTGGTGCGTGGGATCGAAGAACCATATGAACGAATCGTATAGCTATGCGAGAGTAACGCGTGAAATCGTGCTTCTTCATCAGCATGGTGCACATTGCGGTTACATGGTACCATAGAGGATATCATACACAACTGATGGTACAAATAGAAACAAAGTGATTCTTGGTACAAAATTAAATGAAAATTTAGAATAAGACCAGGGACCAGTTTGATTTAATCAAAATCCACTTCGTCTTGTGGCGAACTGTCGTGTCGCCTTGGGGAAAGGTTTTTCGGGGCTTTGTATTATTTTCAAAGACTGTATATCGTGTACGACCGAACTCGATGGCTGGCAATAAAATTGACGATTGCCAGAACTTCGGTTCGGTCGGAGGAACAGTTAACTGCCAGATGTAATGAAGGGACGTTTTCATGAAGCCAGTCCTTGAAGGCAGAGGGTTATTCTCCCCCTTCCGCATTTTTCCTGAGACGACCGTTTGACTTGGACGGAAAAACGAGAGAAGGTACCGGAAAGTCGCCAGTGTCTTGATAATAAATGTTATTATTTCTTATCAAGTGTCTCGATCATTACGCACCCACGTCACATCCTAAAGTCTGAATATCAGATGATTCATTACGTTAATTGTTTCAAGTGTAATTTGATTAGAACTCAACTTGAATAATTCTTTATTTCATTTTTCAGAGTTTTCTTTATAGACATTACTTTTAAATTATATATAGTGAATTTGGCACTCGGTAACATCCCTAATTTTCCCAAGATATCCGGTATGGTCTAGTGGCTAGGATACCTGGCTCTCACCCAGGAGGCTCGGGTTCGATTCCCGGTACCGGAAGTTTCATTTTTGAACCGGAAAATAGCATCATCATAAGAAAAATATATTATCTCTTCCCTAAATTTTTTCGATAATTTTAATTATTGTGTCTTCTCTATTTTATGAGTACATACCTATAATCTGTACATCCATAACGGTAAACAATGATAGATTCCAAAAAAATACATCGATCCTGTACAAGATTACACGGTTCGAAAATGTCAGGTGCCGTTACAATTCCTTGAATAAAATCAGCGATTCATTGGCCACTTCGATCCGACGGAAATACCAACGACGAAAATACACCTTAGTCATTCCTATCAATTCATAATCGTCGTAGCGTAAAATAGAATACGCTTCGATATCACGGGTCGGGGCTGAGAAAGTAGAATTCGAAAGTAGACGTTTCTTCGAGTAGAATGCATTAGGGGGCAACGGTTGCAGTTTCAACGGTACCTTGACGGTCACGTTTCTCCACGCCCTGTGATTATTGAATATTTAACGTCGGTTGCACGACGTCTAACATCCTGATCCAATGATGTAAACCGTAATCGACAGGATCGCGCGATTTAAAATCGTTCTGAACAGTCTTTGTCTTGAAATTTAATAATCAATGGAGGGTTGCAGTCTGTATAATTTCCTATTTTAATTTCTTTTTGAAATGAATTTTGTGCAAATACTTTTTAGAATATCCGCAAATATTTGACCATATTTATTAAGAACGTTAATCAGTATCTTCAGTAGTAGTGAAATGAAAATGAAATGATTAAAATCGCAAGTTTCAAAATGAAACTACTGACATCAAAGACTTCTACTCCGTCAATATTTGAAATGAAATTCCTGTTTTGAGCCATCAACGCACCATTCGAATTCATTTATTTGGATTTATTAGTTATTGCAACTATTTCTACTTGTGTAATTGGTATGAGTTATATCTAACTAATTAAAAAGAAAAATAAATTAGATGGTTCATTGAATAATTTAGAAATTTCATTTCTTTCATAAATGCACTGATGCATCTAAAAAGATGCAATCCTGAAAGAGTTGATAATTCTGATTAAAATGTTACATAAAACCATTTTCATTAATGCATTTATAAGTTGGTTTCCTCTATTCGCTGAATGTTTTGTAACAGAATTCACGGGGACATCGTTCAAGATACACGTAAATACTGATAATTCATCACACGAAGTTGCATTGTAAATTGTGACATTACTCACAGACGCTTGCTTTATATCGCCTACGGGTCGCGGCGGATGTATCGGACACCTTAAATGGGAACATTATTAATTTTGGCGCGGATAATGGGACGACGTTGGTGCATAATTGTAGCTACGATAAGCTCGCATAGTGCTTAGCGATGGATAAAACGTTGGCAAATATTAATACTTTCCTTTGTGCCTTTTTTTATTTAATCAAACAATATACTGAAATATAAAATAAAAGAAGGTAGATAATATTAATTTAATATTTACCATATTAGTTGAAAAACGTAGCTCAAAATGTAATTCATGTTCTTGAAATTTATAAAGAATGTTATACTGATATCAGTAACGTTTACAATAAATAAAAAAATATAAATACTTAAAAGTAATGTTCATTTAACAAAATGATGTTATATACACCTTCTGTAGTCAATTGGAAAAAACCCTTTCAACCATCTCCGGTATGGTCTAGTGGCTAGGATACCTGGCTTTCACCCAGGAGGCTCGGGTTCGATTCCCGGTACCGGAAATTTATTTTATTATTTTTGTTTGTTCTTAATTAATAAATATATTGTAATACCTCATATATAATTTAATGTAATTAACGTTATAATATAGTTTAATGAAATGTTATTAATAAATCTATATAAGAACTACCAGAAAACTAGAAAATTACTAATACAGAAATGCTGAAATACAGCATTTCTACTACTATTAGCTTGAAGGTTAAAATATTTGCTTTGACAAAAAAAATAACTTACTTGACAGGAACAGGTCCTGGAGGGCCTGGGCAGCCTGGCATAGGAGAGCCCATGTTTCGGCAGCGGCAAGTCCTGTTCCTCGCAAAGCAAGCACATCCCCCGCTACCACAGCGAGACCAGATCCTCCACTCAGGTCGGTTTGCATCCTACATAACAAAAAAATGGCATAATCAATATAAGAATGGGATATGAATCCATATTAGGGTGACATTTGAATTTCCATAGAAATCCATCACCCACACTATTAGAAATTCCTTTTCCCTGAATGACTTGAAATTATGGATAAAACTCGACTTTATTTGCCTTTAAAAATCAGGTATTATAATCAGCAAATTGAATTGGAATGATATGATTAATAATCGTCTAAACAGATGCAACAGGGTGTTTCATGTATCAAAGTACTGGATTAACAATGTTGCAGCAGTTGGACCGCACATTCCTGTACTTTCCCAACTACTCCACGAGCGAACGTGTGCCTTTGTTACGATTTAATGGACAAGTGTCGTGTTTACCGGTTACTAGGAATAGTTGAGCAGTTGGAGCGATGTACTTGATACAAAGTGACCGCTTGTAAAGAACAGCTTTGACGAGGAACTTTGCAAAATAATCAAGAAATTATTTATTCTAACGATTTTTATATCAAAAATCCTGAATATATTAACATAGAATAATTTAAAGTATTAAGTTAGTCTGAAATTTTAGAATTTAAAAAATTTATATTTTTCACTTTAATAGATTATCAAAAATTTCGCTTAATTAAATAATAGACTATTTGATGACACTGCTCTGGTCTGAATTGAAATTGAATCACATTTCCATCGCGATAACGATTTAAGTACACATATTATCATGATTCTTATTGTCAGTTACGAATGATCGTAAAATGGAGCGAATCGCGATCGAATTAATTAAGAAAGACTTTCGTTTCGGCTGCACGCTTCGCAGCTTGAAATGGAGCGGAAGCGACGCGTCGAACAAAAGGGATTGAAATAATCGAAGCTCCGTGCGGCCAACAAGCCTGATGCATCCAATATGCACGCCCCGGCCTGTTTACATTTGTTTGTTCTCGACTAGCTGCACGACACGTTGCTTCAATCTTGTTTCACAGAGACAACCCACTGTTCCTCGACTTCTACCCGTAGGTATCGCTCTATTGTGTTCGCCAATGAAAAATCCACCGAGAAAATTTCAAAGGTGAAGTAATATTCAGCTAGGAACGAAATCATTGACGCGGAGTTCCAAATTTCTTGGAAACTTTATGGTACACTTCTTAGAAAATTAATGAAACGTTGTTTGCTAGAAACATTTTAAAATTAATTTTTTTTGGCATTCACCGACGAATTTTTCTAAATTATGCGTTTAGTAATTAAGAGAAACTTGAAATTAATAGATCGTGTAGTGGTTAAAAATATTTTAAAATTTTTAGCATTAATCGTCATACGTTTGAAGAAAAAATTAGCAATACTACAAATGTATATGTACTAAATTATAATATTTCAATAAATAAATTTTGAAATTTTCATATTAAATGAATTATATTTTGCCATTTCTTCCTTTAGATTCTTGGACGGTTTTAGAACATAACCGCGGGTAAACGCAGCGAAACAAGTGTCTCGTATTATTTAGTTTAAAGCTCGTTCGGTATACAGTCTTAGCTTTAAATTACGTTAGGGAATCCGTTTAAACGCACGAGAAAATGTACGTGTATTTATGCAGAACCAACGAGGTTATACGTTTGGGAAAATGCAACCAGGAGTCAGCTGTGAAAGAGAAAACGCGTGAAAATTGACCCGTGGTTTGTACTTATAAGATTCGCAGAAATGGAGAGATTTGGGGTCGCCTTCGTAATTACACTTCATTTTTCAGGATTTCTCGCTTGATATTTAAACTCGTTCGCAATAGCGTACTCTTTCTATTTCCATTAGCAGTATTTGTCGTTTAATGTGAATGGAATATACATAATATGAAAATTTATTGTTAAAATAATCATAGGAAATTAAACATTTAAACTACCAGAAATTACATATTCCTTCTGTGATATGTAACAAACGAAACTCGTTTCTTTTCACCGAACACAGTTCAAATTAATTTTTAATTTTGCCAAGCGTTGTTACCAACACGGCATACATCGAATTCCGATACACTTCACGTCGCCAACGATTGGCAAAGATTGCGAATCGCAGCAATGTTCGTTAATGAAAAACGAAAACTCCGAGGATCGATTTTTAATCAAACGCAGACCATCCTACGTCCAGCCAGGTGCGCGAATTTGTGGACGGTAAATCTTTGCGGTGTGCGGTCATTTTGAGAGGCAATCGACAGATAGACCAACAGGGGTGAAACAATAAAGGTCAACTCTATTTTCTTCTGCTATCAAATCTAATATTCTCTTGCATTTTCAGCAAGTATTCAAATTTAAAATAATTATAAACTGAAATTTTATAAGATATAAAAGATATCAAAATAACTTTACTCTAGAAACCCTTCATTCCTAATATTTTTTTTTTAATAATAATAACTGGAATAATTTTATGAAAATTTCTCCAATGAGAAAATAATATATTTGCAATACTTTTTAATTTATGCGCTCGACAAGTCCTCCTCTTAACTCTTCAAACAAGAAGTCGTTATCGAATGGGGTGCAGGTACAAAGGCCCAGTTCCATTTTACGCATTTTCCAATTACAAGAAACTTACAATTAGCCACATGGCGAGAATAAACGGAGTATCGAGTCAAGGCTTTCGATTTGATTTCGTGGAGTTAGAATACAAGTCGGAGGTTATCGGGTTATCCACGGAACTGAATTACAAATAGTTGAGCCACGAATTCAACGTTTCAGCTCTTCTGCCATCTCCTCGATTCTCAGCCGGATGTTTCTAACTTCATCAGCTCCATTTGTCCTTTCCGTTATGCAACGACTAACTGGCAAACCTTCGATTATCTTTCACAATGATTTCATGTGCGTCAAGGTAATTTGATTTTCAGATATCATGATATGTGTCATACATGTACGTTTCAATATTCGGTAATGAAATTAAATTGTATCATATTAAATACCCTAATGAATCAATAAAAGCTTTTTCCTAAAAAATTGTTACACATTATATTTTATTTTATTAGATCTTATTATTTAATTTTCACAATATTTTTACATTATATTTGTACACAACGCTAGCTGAAACCACGTATATTCACACAAACAACTGGTTTCCAAATGAAACCCGTGGTTCCGTTGAAAATTCAGCTCGTCGGGTAAACTGTAATCCGAAACTTTCCAACCGATACCGATCATTCTTTCTATGTATGTTTTAAATGCAAATGTCGCGAACTTATCGTTCCCTCGCTTGGAAACTTCTGCTCCCGGTATTTACAGAAGGCTCATCAAAGCACTGACATCGGAGGTAATTCCTTCTGTTTGGAGGATCGAGGAAACTCCGACCAAGTATTAGCTTTTATTGCGACAAATATATTCCCAGAAATTATCCAGCCTTGCATTTATCATATAACGAATGCAAACTGAGACACTATAATAATTGTAAAATAATAAAAAAAAATCTTTCACTGTGTCAAAGGAAAATAACGATGATATAATAATGAAACATTTATATTCTTTTTAGAAATGTTCCTGGAATTTTGTTTAAAACAAACTTTTATTTAAAATGTAATTAACGAAAGTAATATTATACGGTAATTTGATGTTATTTCATTATTCCGTCGAAGAGGTTCATCAGTGTTCATTTCAAATAATTACATTGAAATATGAGAGGATATTAAAAACTGGAATCGAAATAAAAGTTTTTGTTGCTCCACTTTTGGTATTCTATTTCCACGATATTTTCATCGACTGTTTTATTTCAATTGTTATATGTAAATATTATATAATGGAATACAAAATATTTTTCATACGAATAGTTTTATTAATTTGTATTTTTGAAAAAGCAATATGATACAGTAACAAATTTTCAACAGAAACATTTATTTTTAAGTCTTGATATAAAAAATAACACTTTGATTTTTGTTACTGGTATATATACCTACTTGTTTAATGTCAATCAGTATATTTAATTAATATAATAATTTATCAATCAAAATGTTTAATAGATTATTAAGTTGTTGATACATCGTCTTTCTACTATTCTGATGTACTATTTCTGTTACAGCTGACAAATTGTGGATCATTTTGCGATAAAGGAAATGTGGAATACTGACGTAACTAGGCCATCGATTACCCGATGCTTAAAGGAGATTAGAAGATTATTCAATTTGAATTATGCGATTGCCTGAATTGCTTGATCTGAAAATGCAATTTTAACGAACGGAAAGTCTGTTAATTCTTCGCTTCAACTTTTCTCGGATAAAAGTTATAGGTTCTTTCCGCTACCAGCAAAGGGATTCATTACTGTTATAATATTAATATTATACGATTTTAAACTCAAATATTAATAATAACAAAAATCTGTTCACTACTTTTATCATACACAACTTATTTTCCAGAAGAAGCTTAAAATTTGGTAAATATACAATTTGCCATTTTTATTAACAATATATCCTTGATTCTAGAAAAAGTAGGAACTCGTTAGAAAATATTGAACATATGTTATTTTTCTGTTATAAATAATTTCTAAAGAATTACCTTCAAGATTATTATTAAAAAATTAATCCTGTCTCATTAAAGATACATTAAGTTATAAATTTTACATAATATTTATTGTGAAAAATGCTAACGAGAACTAAAGAGTATTACATTTCATCGGATCTAGCGGAAAAGGGTTTTCCTGAAAGGCAAAGTGCCGATAAAGCGATCCACAGAAATTTTCGCGATATTCACGATGCAACGTTCAAGAGCTTCCTTTTCCTTTCACCCTTCTATCGGAAAGGTGAATTTCAAAAAGTTGAGATGGAGCTCGATATCCTACATACAGCTTCTCTTGTGTAACTAAAACCATCTTCAGGAAAGCTATCTTAGACGATTATGTACTTTCGATACAAGGCTCGTTTCTTATTTTTTCTCTTAAAAAAATTATAAGGATATTTAAAGAATTTATAGAAAAATTGAAAAGTTTTTTATTTATTCAAATTTTAGTGATCTGCAAATTTGATTTATTTGATATTCAATTTTTAACCTGCACCAGAATTTTCAATTTAG